TCACTCTGTTACTGCTGCAAAGATGTGTAACCAACATCTGACTTCCAGTGAATAAGCAGCCAAGAAAGGGGAATCAGCAGGTCATCAGCTAACGTGTTCCGGGCAACTTTGAGCATCTGAATAGGATCAAGAAATTAGGCTCTCTGTCAAACATGATTTACATTTATTTATTGGTTAGTTCAAGCATGTGATCATTTATTCTTCTAGTTACTAGCAAGCAAGGAGGATATATCAGTTATTTATTGTTATCTCCTATTTCAACAGTTTATAAAAATGGGTATTTATTATCTTACAGTTTCTGAGGGCTAGGGATTTGGGAGCAGCTTAGGTGGTTCTAGTAAAGGGTTTCATGAGGTTATAATCAAAATGTCAGCTGTGGCTGTAGTCGTCTGAACATTTAACTAGGGTCTGGAGGATTCACTTCCCAGATGGTCACTCACATGGCTGTTGGCAGGAGGCCTTAGTTCCTCACCATGTGCACCTCTCCAGGAGCCTCCTTCAGTACCTCCATGACTTGATTTGATAGGTGTTTTTCCTCAGAGTAAATGATCTAACAGAGAGAAAGGAAGAAGGAAAGAAGCTATAATGCCTTTATATCCTAATCTTGGAAGCCAAACACTGTCATTTTGGCCATATTTTAATCTAAGATGTGAGTCACTAAGTCTGGCCCACGTTTAAGGGAAGGAGAATTAAGCTCCACCTCTCGAAGGGAGGAGTATTAAAGAATTTGTAGACATATTTTAAAACTACCATAGTTGACCCTCTGGCCACAAACTGCTTACATTTCTCCCGTGTGCAAAATGTTCTCATCTCCTAAGATACACCAAAAGTCTCACCCCTTTAGAGTGTCAACTTAAAATCCAGGTTGTTGTCATTTAATTAGGTTCAAGTGTAGATGAGGCTCTTTGGCTGTAGTTCCTCAAATATGATTCCTTTTGATGTGAAGACCTATAAACTAAACAGAAAAGTTTTCTGCCCCTCACAAACTCAATGTACATTGATGGGACAGGCATATAATAAAGCAGATATAGAGATTCCTATTTAAAAAGGGAGAAAATGGGATGCAGAAAAAAGCTACTGATTCATAGCAATTCTGATGTTTGTCTGGGTAAATGTTGGAATTTCCTTGATTAGGACTTAGTTCTGCTTCTGCCCAAGAATGCTGAACCATGGCTATGTACTCCCTCCTGGTTCTTGCTTCCCCTCTAAAAGTCATCCTTCCTTTTCCATGAAAGTCCAGATTTGCAATTGCATAGTTTTCTTAGCTTTTTTCTTACCAGTAGAATTTTGAGGGCCCAAAGACCTCTTTTCAGTTGTACTGCCTCTATACCTCCCAGTTTAAGCTGGCAACATTTCTTTTTAATACTTTGAGTCCCTGTGAATAATATTGAGATTGGTACTCTTAGCAAAAGCAGCCACCAATCTCTTCTAGACTCTCTCTTTTCTACCTTTGGCTTCTGCTGGGATTGCTGAGGGACAGTACTTCTAGTGGGTAGAATTGTATTCCCTAAAAAGTCCTAATATCTGATGTCTGTGAATGGTGACCTTCTTTGGAAATAAGGTCTTCACAGATGTAATCAAGTTAAGAGGAGATCATACTGGGTTAGAGTGGGCCCTAATTCAATGGCTGTTATTCTTACAAGAATAGAGAAATTTGGATACAGAAGACACAGAGAAGAAAGTCATGTAAAGACTGAGGCAAAGATTGGAGGAGTAATATGTTTATAAGCCAAGAAACAGCAAGAATTGCTGGGAACCACTGAAAGCTTAGAGAGGCATGAACAGATTCTCCCTCAGAGCCTCCAGAAGGAACTAACTCTAAAATGTCTTGATTTTAGACCCCTGGCCTCCAAAACTGAGAGAGAATAAATTCCTGTTGTTTTAAGTTGATGGTTCATGGGAATTTGTTATGGTAGCCCGAGGAAACTAGTACAACATTCTTAAGCTTCTTAGAAGTCCATTTGTTTAGCTGAATAGTTCTCTAGCCTACAGTACATCTTTCTAAGGTATTAACAATGAATTTTTATAGCCATACTTTTGACTTCCTCTTAAACATTTTCTTTTGGCAATGCCCTGGATTTGATTCTTGCTTGGAAGCCATTTCTTAATTTTAGTATCACTTACTAGCTGGAGAAGGTAGGAATTTTCAGAATTATTCAGTCTTCCCTCCTTTTTATTTAACTATCCTTCTTTAATATCCTCCCCTCTTTACATTTTAATGTAAGCAGCAAAAAGCAGCCAAGAGGCACCTTTTAGCACTCTTGTCTGGACATCTCATTAGCTAGATTATCATCCAGTGCATGAGCCACAACTTCTGCTGTCCACATTATAGCAGGCAACAGCTTTTGCCACTATATACCAGGATCCTTTCCCTCTAGTTTCCAATAAGATTTTTCTTACTTTCACTTAAGCTCTCACCCATAACTTCCTTAAAGGGTTCCTTTCACTGTTTCTTCAAGGGTCTTCAATTTTCACTGACACTTTCCTCAAAGTCCTTCCAATGTCTGTCTTCTACTGGGTTCCCAAATTCTCACATTTTAGGTTTTTGTTAACAGCAGCACCCACATCCGGGTAACAGAATCTGTATTAGTTTTCTAATGTTGTATAATAAATTACCCAGAGTTTACTGGGTTCAGTGGGCCAGGAATTTGGGAACAACTTAGCTGGGTGGTTCTGGTCCAGGGTCTCATGAGTTTACTGTCAAGATGTTGTCTGTTTCTTCAGTCAAAATATAGGTCATTGGAACAGAATAGAGAGCCCAGAAAATAAACCCAAGCATGTATGACATAGGAGCCAAGAATAAACTATGGGGAAAGGACAGCCTCTTTAGTAAATGATGTTGGGAAAACTGGACCACTATCTTATGCCATACACAAAAATTAATTCAAAATGGATTAAAGACTTGAATGTAAAACCTGAAACCATAAAATCCCCAGAAGAATACAATTGTGGTAAGCTCCTTGACATCAATCTTGGCAATAATTTTTGGACTTGACTCTAAAAGCAATGGCAGCAAAAGCAAAAATAAACAAGTGGTACTATATCAAACTAAAAACAGCAAAAGAAGTAGTCTGCAGAATGAAAAGGCAATCTACTGAATGGGAGAAAATATTTGCAAATCAACTATTTGATAAGGGGTTAATATCCAAAATATATAAAAACTCATACAACACAGTAGCAAAAAAACAAACAATCCAAGTATAAAATGGGTAATCTGAATAGACATTTTGAAAAGATACTCAAAATCACTAATCATCAGGGAAATACAAATCAAATCCACAATGAGATATTACTTCACACCTGCTATTCAAGAGAAATAACAAGTGTTGGTGTGGGTGTGGAATAAAGGGAATGAACCCTGTGTAGGAATGTAAATGGGTACAGTAATTATGGAAAATTGTATGGAAAAATAAAACTACCACCCAGCAGTTCCAATTCTGGGTGTTTAACTGAAGAAAATAAAAACACCAATTGAAAAGATGTATTCCCCACCCCCCCCATTCACACACACACACACACACACACGCATACACAGTGGGATATTATTCAGCCATAAGAAAGAATGAATCTTACCATTTGCAACAATGTGATGCATCTTGAGTGCATTATGCTAAGTGAAGTTAAGTTGGAGGAAGACAAATATTGTATGATCTCATTTATATGTGGAATCTTTAAAAAAACCAAGCTCATAGATACAGAGAATAGATTGGTGGTGGGACATGGGTGAAATGGGTGAGGGTATCAAAAGGTACAAACTTTCAGTTATAAAATAAATAATGGAGATGTAATGAACAGTATGGTGACTACATCATCAGGAAAATGCAAATCAAAACCACAATGAGATTATAGTTTATTGTAGTTATTATAGTATTATAGTTTATAGTACTGTATTGTATATTTGGAAGTTGCTAAGAGAGTAGATCTTAAAGGTTTTCATTACAAGAAAATAAAATTTTGTGGCTGTGTAGGTGATGAATATTAATTAGTCTTATTGTGATCATTTGCAATGTATATAAACATTGAATCATTGTATTGAAAGTAATTTAATGTTATATGTCTATTATACTTCAGTCAAAAGAAAAAGTAAGTCACTAAGTGCAGCCCACACTCAGAAGTATAAAATGATTTGTGGACATATTTTAAAACAAACACGTAGTGTAATTACCTATTATTGAACTGTAGGAATAGGGAAAATCTAATATTGGCTATGCTGTTATATTGGTCGGCCGAATCCATGGCAAGTACATATCATGTCACTTATATCTCAATAAAGCTGGGGGGAGATTCATAGTATTCAGAAAACAGGAAATCTAGGGGGAAAGTTCCTTTAGTGTTTTTCTTTTGCTGAGACATTACCCCGTTATGTCTTTGTGTAACAAAGACCAACTTATTAGGGTAAAAGTGTGGGTAAATGTGCCATCTTAAGTGTTCAGAATGATAAGTGCCGAGCATGTGTATGTATATATAGGTGTTTGTAGTTATAAGCAATTGAAACACATTTTGAGGGCTAATTCAGCATATTGATAAGTACTTGTAAAATGGAATTACTCTTAAAAAAAAAAACTTTTAAAGGGCCCATTAAAGTATCTTACACAGAAACCCAGCATGTAAAACACATAAAAATGGTACTACCCTTGTTACAGGGAAGTGGGCCTAGAATCCTAATGGCTTAGCATCCCTTTCAGCCTCTCCTTGTATTTCTACCAGAGAGCCAAGGAACATACTTTGAAAACTACACCATACTTTCCCAGCCTAATTCATGGAAACCTGTTAATATATAAGGTAGCAGAGCTCAGACAGATAGCCATAAAATCAAAATAGAACTCTGCCAGGTGGCAGAACTTATTTCTGGTGCTATTTATTGTATATCTGTAAGTGAAAAGCCACCGTGGATTGGGGAAGGAGTTGGTGATTGGTCAACCATGAATATCTGTAGAGTTCTTTAATTATCAATTTTGTTTTAGCTAATTTCTCTTACCTAATTTTTTCTCTTCCAACAGAATAATACAACAGATCTTTGCAGGATTCTTTGCAAATTCTACAATCTCTGGATCCCCACACCCTTTTGCCTGGTAAGTAACTACCTACCTTCTCTCTTACTCTGATGGAGTTGTGTCATTTTAGGTACTATAGTTTCAGTGCCCTAGTGAGAAAAAACGAGCTGATTGATGAGTGTATAGGTGTGATTGGTAGGCTGTTTGTTAGATTGTCATTATTTGCTGAGCCCAAACCTAATCAGAATTTATTTTCTATTCAGGCTCTTGAGGGTCACCCTAGTCTCTCAGGGTGGCTGGGTACTTGTGTCTGATTCCGTTACTATTCTGGAGTGAGGGTTGTGTTGAGGTAGGGAATGAGATGTTCCCTGCTAGGCTTGCTATCTGATTTGTGGGGTTTTCTTCTATATCTTACTGGAAATTTCATTCCTTAAAAATTTCTGAAGTTGAAAACATGCTGCTTAACTTACTTTTTTCAAAGTAAGGTTTGTCAGAAGAAACAAAAGGGTGTAATTCAACATCAGAGTAACACTTATGCATGGCAGGGATCAAAGATAGGATTTCCTCTTGTCTGGACAATTATTTGCCACTTCTGACTCTGCCCCAAGAAGGTTTTATGCTCAGAGGGATCCCAGTCCTTCCACACAGTTACCGTTTTCTAACCTCTAGTCCTCAAACACATTCTAGCCAGAGTCTGGACACCCATCATCCAGGGTAGGGAACCAGCAGTTCCAAAAAGAGGTGCTGCAAAGTTCCTGTTGTATTTGCTCTAATTTGTGACTCAGAAAGGCTGCTGTGGCTACTTTCTACTTGAAAGGTCCTCATTGTCTAGGACCTCATGTATCATGTAGTCTCTTAGAATGAGGGAAGTCTCCTGTAGATTTTGGGCAGCCATGAAGGGAAAACTCTCCTTCAAAAGCAGCTCCATGTATGTTTAATGTTAAGTGGACACAGAGAAGACAAACTCTTCTTAACCAATAGGCAGTGAGTAACTTTTTTTGCTCTGGTGTATGCTGTGGTATTTTAGGTAGCTTCACATCCTATGTTTCAGTTAGGTAAAAATTCCTAGATAATAGAGAGACTATCTCTACGTAATCTTTAAAATATTGGGAAATTCTTTGCTACTCAATTCTTGAGACTAGTGACTTTCCAGCTCTGAGAGAGAACAGGATCCCTCTACCAGTTTTTTCTGTGGTGTAAGGTGGAGCCTGGTCACTCCATCTAATGCTGTCTGTCTCATCTCATGTATAGGAGCGGGATGCTGCACTCCAACCCTGGGGACTATGCCTGGGGTCAGACAGGGCTTGATGCCATTGTAACCCAGGTGAGGAGCTGCCTTTTGAGGGTGTCTGTTCAGTGTGTCTCATGGTTCCACAGGCTTCCTGCTTTCCTTCTGCTACTCTCTGAAATGGCAGTCACTCTGCTTTCCCTAATGTTTTGAGCTTGTGGGTTTCCATTTTACTAAAGGAATAAATGGTTTATGAGTTTGGCTCAGCATCCACGTATCTTCTAGGTCCTAGGGGCTTTCTACAAGATGGCTACACCTCCATGAGAAGAAAAGGATTTCCTATAACAAATAGTATTTCGTAGTTTGTCCTCTTGTTCAGTCCTATGATGGTCCCATTCACAAATAGTTGACAAAATGAAGGCTGTCTTCATATATTGAAGCAGGGATTTCTGCTAGATGGAGCAAAGTAGGGGAAGGAAGCAGAGAAAAAGATATTGCCATGCCATATGTCTTGCTTCCACTTATTTATATTTATTTTAATTTAATTGGTTTTTCATTTCCCTTGTGTATTGCTGAGAATAGAAAGCATGTTGTTCATATCCAAGTCATCTTCTAGAAAGGCAGTAATTTACCTATTTCTTGGGTTATTTTATGCTACTTTCCATACTCCCACACTTTCCTTTCTTCCAGCAGAATGAAGATTTTGGACCAGTTACGTATTATTTTTTGTTAAACTGTGATTTTGTTCATGACATCACAACCCCTTTGCTGCCTTTGAAGTTGCTTAATGCCCAAAGGTGGGCCTTGCAATGGTGGGCTGTAATTAGGCTTTTATTGATAAACACTCTGAAATTATAAAGCAATTGTGAGTGTTCTGGAAGCGGGAAAGAGGAAACCCAAGCCTCTAAAAGAGCTTTACAGAAGAAGTAGGAGCAACTAATTTCTAATACCTGCTGCTGTTTGTTCTCAGTGGAGCAGCTCCTGCCCTAGGGATAGTGAGATGTCTGTGACTTCTTCTTTCTTTCTTTCTTTCTTTCTTTCTTTTTTTTTTTTGGTAGCTTTTAGGACAACTGGAAAACACAGGGCCTCCCCCAGCTGACAAGGAAAAGATCACATCTCTTCCAACAGTGACAGTAACTCAGGAACAAGTTGGTAGGTTAATTTCCATACTTATTCTGTTATGTCATCTTCTGATCTCTATTCAAAATCCCAGCACCTTCCTACACTTAGGATCTTTAATGAGGCTATAGCATTCCTAAAATCCCATCCTGGGTACTACATAAGAAAGTTTACTAACTCTTTTGTTAAAAGTTAGTAAAGAGGTATTTCCTGAGCAATTACCATGTCCCTTTTCTAGATGCCATGCAGGAAATAACGAGGTACAAAGTTTTTTACGACTTGGTGTCTTGAAGAACTTACCAGGGGAAGCAAAACTCACCAAACAGACAACAGTATGAAAAACAGTGTTGAGCAGATGATACTGATTGAGGAAAGAGGAAGAGAAAAAATGGGAGGCTGGGGATTTGTTTCACATATACTTTGTATCAGATACACTTAGGAACATTAAACATACATATTATTTTATTTATAAGCACTAAAGGTACTTAGTGATAAAGGATATTTGGACTGGGAATTACTTTCCCTACAAATTCCAGTTTAGAGTCAGAGATTTTAAAGACAAGATGAACCATCTTAGAGAGGTTATCCTATATACGGAAAAGCATGAACCAGTGTAAAAATGTCAGCATGGAATTGGTGTCTGTGTCAGCTGTGAGGAGAATGATGTTATTAGACCTGAAATAGAATCTGGTTTTGGGGGAATAGTGGGAAATGTAACTGGGTAGGAAGGGTAGGGCCTTGTTATTGAAGACCTTGGAACTGGCAGAGTAGTTAGAGCTGGATATTTTAGGTAGTAGGTAAGTTATTTGTTTGGAGGTAGTGTAAAATAGAAGAGAGAAAACAGAAACAGGGATTTAAGGAGCTGTTAGAGCATCCATGTAGGGTTCCATTAATGGTGGCAGTGCTAACAAAAGGAAAGGGTAATTCAGAAAATCATTTTGAAGAAAGGCCTTCAAGGAGAAAGGGTAAAAAATGATTCTAAGAGTTTGCAACTTTGTAACTACAGAGACAGTGCTGCCATCATCAGGGAAGGGGGAATTATGAGGGGGCTCTCCTTTGGGTAGGGAGTTAGTGTGATATTTTTTATTTTTAATTTGTTGATTTTGAGGTACCCACTGAAAATCCAAGTGAAAATGAGCTGGAGATTTCTATGAAGGGAAAATTAACCAGTAGAAAAGTATAGGATATATTTGGAGGGTTGAAGGCCTGGAGTCAGGGATGCTGCCTGGGAGGCTGTTATAGCAGACCAGGTATAGAAGTAAAAGCTAGAATTAGGCCAAAGTTGGTAGGAGTGGAGAGGAAGGAGTGAATCTGTTGAGTTGTAGTCTCGCTTCAAATGCCTTGAATGCTGTGGGGCATGTAAGCATATTCTGGCTGTTAGAGAGATAAACTAGCTGGTATTATTAGCCAGACTTGAGAGACTTGGAATTTGCTCCTTGGTACTCTCAATTTAGATTGTAGCCATTTCCTCTCAGAAAAGAGGACTTCCTGTCTCTGGATTTAGGGACTGAGCTACCCTTGGGCTTTGCAATTCTGCAGCACCACCTCCTGGTACAGCTTTTAATTAACAACCTGTACAGAGGACTTTAGGGCAGCCACACTGAAAGAGGATAAATAATATGAAAAAATAGTAGTGTAAAAGCAGCTTGAAACACTGAATATGAACTGCTAAGATTGCTGAGATGAGTCCCTCAGTTATGTAGACAGGTAGCCAGTTTCCTAAGTAGAAACTGCCAGAAGGGTGTCATGCCTTTGGGAAGATATTTTTCTTGCTTTATTTAACAGATAATCTAAGCCCCAGTTTATTTCTTCCAACTCTTTACATTGAAAAATAGGCTTATATCCTGCCCACAGCAATTTACAGATTCAATGCAACCTCTATCAAAATACCAATGGCATTTTTCAATAAACTAGATCAAATAATCCTAAAATTCATATGTAACTGCAAAAGACCACAAACAGCCAAAGCAATCCTGAGAAAGAAGAACAAAGCTCTGGGGGATTATGCACCCTGACTTCAAGCTAATACTACAAAGCTACAGCAATCAAAACAGTATGCTATTGGCACAAGAACAGACCTGTAGATCAGTGAAATAGAAGAGAGAGCCTAGATATAAACCCACACATACATGGTCAGTTAATATACAATAAAGGAGCCATAATGTACAATGAGGAAAAGACAGCCTTTTCAATAACTGGTGTTGGGACAGAGAAGACAAGTAGTGATTCTCTAGCATCTTATTATGCTGATGAACAGTGACTGTAATGGGGTATGTGGTAAGGACTTGATAATAGGGGGAGTCTAGTAACCATAATGTTGTTCATGTAATTGTACATTAATGATAGCAAAATAAAAAATAAATAAATAACTGGTGTTGGGAAAGCTGGACAGCTGCATGCAAGAGAATGAAATCAGATTATTGTCTAACTCTATACATAAAAGTAAATTCGAAATGGATCAAAGACCTAAATGTAAGACATGAAACCATAAAAATCTTAGATGAAAACACTGGCAAAAATCTCTTGAACATAACCACAAGCAATTTTTTCCTGGACACATCTCCTTGGGCAAGGGAAACAAAAAATGAACAAGTGGGACCACATCAAACTAAAAAGCTTCACTTCTCTACAGCAAAGGACATCATCAGCAGAACAAAAAGCCAACCTACAGCATGGGAGAATATATTCAAAAGCAGTTTATCCAGTAAGGAACTAATATCCAAAATATATAAAGCACTCATAATCCTCAACACCCAAAAAACAAATAACCCAATTAAAAAATGACAGAGGACCTGAACAGATATTTCTCCAAAGAAGAAATGCATATGGCCAACAGGCACATGAAAAGATGCTCCACATTACTAATCATCAGGGAAATGCAAAACAAAGCCACAATGAGCTATCACTTCATACCATTTAGAATGGCCACAATCCAAAAGACAAGAAATAACAAGTGTTGGTGAGGATCTGGAAAAATGGGAACCCTCCTAACTGTTGTAAATTGGTGCGGCCACTTATAGAAAGTATTAATGGAGGTTCCTCCAAAAACTAAAAATAGAAACACCATACAACCCAGTAATACCATTTCTAAGGATTTGTCTGAAGGAAACAAAATCCCTGATTTGAAAAGATATATGCACCCCTATGTTTATTGCCATATTATTTACAATATATAAGCTATGGAAGCAACCTAAGTGTCCATAAACAGATGAATGGATAAAGAAGATGTGGTACAAATACACAGTGGACTATTATTCAGCCATAAGGAAATCCTGTCATTTACAACAACATGGATGGAACTAGAAGGTATTATACTAAGTGAAATAAGCTAGGCAGAGAAAGACAAGTACCAAATGATCTCACTCATCTGTGGAGTATAAGAACAAAACAAGAAAATGAACAAAACAGCAGTAGACTCATAGATAGGGAGAAGTGACTGGTGATTACCATGGGGGAGGGGTTGGATTGCATGGGTGGAGAAGGTTAGGGGATAAAGGGGCACAAAAATTCTGAAACATAAGTTGGTCATGGAGATAGTATAGCATGGAGTATATAGTCAGTGATTCAGTTAGATCTTCCTATGCAGACAGATAGTAGCTGCACTAGTGGGTTAGTGAGGATTATGTGTATTAAATCCTGTTGAACCACTGTATTGTATACTTTAAACCAATACAAGATCATATATTAGGGGTACTTCAATTAAAAAAAAGAAGTTTAATTCAAATGTAAACAAAAAAAAGAGAAGAAGGCCTTATATATAGTTCCTATCTAGGCCTTATTGGAATAAGCCCATTCATCAGGGCTCCTTTTTATAATCCTGCCTACTACTACTTTTTACCACTACTACCATTTTGAAATAAAAGTCATGCTTCCTATCTGCCTCCACCTTGGGAGTACTTTGTGTCTTTTCTTTAGGCATTCTGTGGTTGTGGGCTGTTAAAGACATTGAGGTAGTTTTTTCTTCCTTCTTTTTGCTTATTTACCTTAAAAGGCATTTCCTTCTCTAACAGATATGGGTTTAGAATGTCCAGTATGCAAAGAAGATTACACAGTTGAAGAGGAAGTCCGGCAGTTACCCTGCAACCACCTCTTTCACAGCAGTTGTATTGTGCCATGGTTAGAACTGGTGAGTACAGAGAGTGTATCCATGATGGAGCATCTATGCCAGTAACATCTTACTTACGGGGATGGTTCAGAGTAAGGGTATTGTTAACATTTAATGGAATGCCAAGCAGAACAGATTTTACTCCCTAGCTAACTCCTAATGGTACTATTACTGTTTTTTAGACTATTACTTGTTTGTAACTTCCCTGACCAGGGGTTAGCAAACTGCAGTCTACAGGTCTCTGGCCTGCCACCTGTTATTGTAAATGAAGTTTTATTGCAACACAGCTATGCTTATTTGTTTATAATCATCTATAGTGCTTTTGTGCTACATCAGCACAAATGAATAGTTGGAACACAAATGGTATGGCCTGTAGTCTAAAATACTACCTGTCTCTTTACAGAAAAAGTTTGCTGACTCTTGCTTTAGACCATCTCAGGTCACTGTTTCTGGTTAGGTCTGTTTGGTGGTATGTGTCAGCTATTGTTAAATTGCTGGCCTAGAGTTCTCTGTCACTGCTGTTTCAAGTTCTGTTTGGGAGATGTCCTGGTGTTGCATCATGGAGCCCAGTGTGCACTGTGTGTTTTTCTATTTGTCAACCCTCAGGGTTTCTTAAGTGTTTGGTACATCCATCCAGCTTCTCAGGACAAGCTGTTTACATGGACTGCTATCTTTCTGTTTCAGCATGACACATGTCCTGTATGTAGGAAGAGCTTAAATGGTGAGGACTCTACTCAGCAAATCCAGAGCTCTGAGGCCTCTGCAAGCAACAGATATAGCAGTGATAACCAGCTACATGACCGATGGACTTTCTGAAGCTAAAGACCACATCTGAGCCAGAGCTATGGTAGTCTTCCTACCACAGTGTAAATTGTATCAAAACAAAAAATAGTAGGTGGATTTAGGAATTGCCTAAGAAACCCCAACCCATAATATTAATGCCTTCACTGTTTTTTCTTCTCTAAATTTAGTTAGTATCTACAACCACATGTCTCTTATTCCTAAATTCAGAATGATAATTTTATAAGCGTGAAAGTTAATTGTGTTGGTCCCCTGCCAGAGTAGAATCAGTTCCTTGAAGTCTAGCTAGGGTCCTGCTATCTGTCATGTTACCTTGTAATGGATGTTTCCACTTCCTTGTCCAACCTGCACCCTACCATTAGTATATTTTACAGTAAATACAATGGAACCAGAGCCCTAAAGTCCTTCTTTTTAATTGTACAAAAACATCTATTCTCGGCCACATTAGCCATGAAGTGAGGGCAGAATAATGCAGGAATCTGAGGCTAATGATTTTGTTTTGTTTTGAATCCTCAGAAAATCAAAGAAAAATTATAGTGGGAAGGAGAAAGTGGCTTATGATTATACTCTTTGGTCTTCTCATTTTAATTTTTAAAGACTACTTCACAAGATGCAGTTTCTGCAGAAACCAACATGACATGTCTCAGGAGTCTTATGTTGGTGGCAGTCTGATTCTGGTTCCTTTTTGGGAGTGAGCTGGGCAGCAGACAGGTACAGAAGGACAGATATTTGAAGTCACTGGTTTTGTGGTCTTTTAATGACCCCCAACTCATTTTTTACTGTCTTTTGTCCTGGAGACCTTAAAATAATTTCCCTCACAGAAATAGAAATACTTCATTACAGCTTCTACAGCCAATTCACTGTGTTTAGTAATTCATTGGTCTTCAGGAATTAAGATTTCACATTTTCTCAATTTTTCAAGATCTTTTACATCTCTGAAACTTTTCTGTTCTGCTTGGTTCTGGCTGTATTTGGAATCAAATTGACTATGATGATCATGACCTAGGAGAAGGAGGCCTTATCTCTTCATTCTAAAAGTGTCCCATGCACATGTACATACTCTTTGGCGCATTTAAATGTTTAAAGTTGAATAAATGAAGAAGATCAAGAATGTTGCTGGAACTTTTAAAGTCTCAAAAGGCAATGATGGGGACATGTAACTACTGTTGGTGTACCAATAAGGTTGACAGAATGTTACCTTTTGTATGGTCATATTAACCCTTCATAGTTTGGATCAGAGCAAGAGGGCCATTCTTGGATGAGTCTCTCTTATGGCTAGGAGTCTTTCCTCAGTTTTGTTGACTATCATACACTGGTTTTGGGGTTGAGGTATGGAGGTTAGGGATACCAGTATACTTGGTAGAGGATAAAGAAATACAGTGGGGAGAAGGTTGGAGAGTTGCTTGCTGAATTAGTAGCCTACCTCTAAAAGTTGTGACTGTAAGGTATGATTCAGGTTGGGCCCAGAGGAATTAAAAGACATTTTCTCATACTTCCCTCATATTATACCTCTTTGGAGATTGTTTCTTTGGAGAATGTGAGCTATTTGCTATAGCTATTGAAATGTAGCCCCAAAATACATAGGTTTTGAATGGGAGGATGAAGAGGTTATGGGTAGGTAAGAGGTATATTATGAATATTTAATTGACCAATACTTAGATGGAGTAAGACTATGCTGCAGTTGGAGCACATTGCAGTATTCAAGTACAACGGTATCAGAAAAATTATGATAGCTGGAAATTTTTGTCTTCCTGTTAGTTGCTTGCACCTGGAGATGCCAGTATAGGCAGTTGTATTTTACTTACAGCTATTGAACTAGAAAGGATCCGAGTAACTTCACAAAGGGATGGAAACAAAGTACTGGATAGGGATTTACCTTTTCAATACACAGAGTAACAAATAGCATCAGTCTAAGTTATCTGAAATTTCTTCACTTTTTTTTGCTCTGATAAGAGGATATGAGACTCATTTTCTATACGTGGACCCCTCCCACTTAATGAATCTGTAGTGTCTGTTCCTAGATAGGAGGCATCTTAAACTTTCAGGTTAAGTTAGGTTAAGGAGTGTGTTAGTCACAGTTCTCCAGAGAAACAGTTTTCCCAATAAGGGCCATGTGTGTGTCTGTGTATAAAGAGATGTATTATAAGTAATAGGCTTGCATGTCCCAAGATTTGATAGCACAGTTCCAGTCTAATTCCAAAGGTCTGAGAACTTGGGAGAGCCAATGGTATAAGTTCCAATCTAAAAACTGGAAGGCTTGAGATTCAAGAAAAACTGATGTTTCAGTTCAAATTCAAATTTTCCCCTTGCTAAAAGGAGTGTCAGTCTTTTTGTATTTTCAGGCCTTCAACTGATTGGATGAGGCTCACTCACATTAGGCAGGACAATCTTCTGTACTTAGTCTACCAATTCAGATGTTAATCTTACCAGAAATGCCAACACACCCAGAATGTTTAACCAGATATCTGAGCACCCCCTGGCTCTGTTAAGTTGGCGTACACAAAATTTGCCATGACAAGGAGGAAGAATTGATGCACACAGCAGAATGGTCCTCATCCCACTTAAGTTTTGCTAAGTAAACAATGTGTGTGAGAAAAATATCTGCCTTGGTTAGATACCTCAGTATTAAGTAGGTTAAACAGTGGAAGAAATGTGAATGGGATGAGGACCAGTTTGTTGTGTGCTTATCTGTTTTCTTCTTAATGTATATTAACCTGGAAGTCTGAGAAGCCTTCCTTTCTAAGGAACAAACATTGCAGATTCATTGCTTTAGCACTAGAACATGGCTGGGGTCAAGAGTTTATTTCTAGGAATGACTTGAAAGACTCTTTCTTTATAATGTTTTAATCTGTAAGAAGAAGGAATTGCTCTAGGTGGAGGATGTGGGAATGGCTGTAAATTAAATAGCTTCTTCAGCTTATTAAAAATTTTGTTAACATTTGCTTGAGCAGGTGTTTAGATGTTTTCCTTGAGCAGTACTCTCTCTGGTCCAATAATTCTCAAGTTAGAAGATTTTGGGGGAATGATTTATTTTTTCCCAACAAGTCTCACTTTGATTAAATAGTTATTAGGAGAAAAATTCTTTGTTTATGTCACTGTATTACACACTTGTGTGTGTGGTGCACATATGCATGTGTGCACTTATATTCATAAGTACACACCTATATGCACATTTCATAGTAGAGGAAGAAAGGATAGAGGAGGGCACTGCGGTAGAGTTAACAAGGTTGCAGTGGAAGACTGGAGCCTCACAGTCTGATTCTCACTGCATACCTCAGGCCCGTGTATTTCCACAGCTCTTTGGTAGAGGGCACTGTCGGCTTGGGCAGGTCCCCTGTTATATGGTGTGTGTGGCAAAGGGATTCACTGGAGGTAGAAGCCTAGTCGTTTCTGAAGGTTGAGAAAAAGTGGATTTGAGGAAAGGGTGTTCATCATCCATTGTTTCTGTATTATAATTAGTTGAACTCAAACACAGTTGTCTCTTTAAAAATTTTTGTCTTGATAAATTATTGATACCAAATTGATTTTTCTCATGACCTCCTGCATGCTTCCAGTTTCTTTCTCTCTTGTGTCCAAGTACTATTTCTTCAAGGAATACAAATTAAGTCTATCAGTCTTAACAAAAACTAATCAAGAGGGAATCATAGTTAGTGTCTGTTTTAAACAGCAACAAAAAACAGCCTCTGGAGTTTGGGGAGGTGAAGGGCACTGCGGAGTTGGATCTAGGCAGGCCACAAACATCTGTGAAGGAAAGACAGATTTTAGGAGGAGGATGAGCAGAGCTGGTGAATAGAGAGTTGGATATTAGGGAAAAACCCTTTTTGGCCCATGTGGTATAGAGGTGGGATTATAAGAGTGCTGTTTGCAAGAATAAACCAATGATGATTTGGGAGTTTGGGGTGACTAGCAGGAGAGAGTACTCTTATTGAGAGTTTTGAAAATTAATTTCACGTCAGATCTGATGCAGGAAATCTGGAAAGATTTGGTGGGGTGAACATACCAGAAATAGCTATCCTGAAGGGAAATTGTACCTTGCTGTAATGTCAATGTTTTAGCACTTAGGCTGGAAACCACAGGGCTGCCCCAAGGGTTTAAAATGGAATGCATAGAATACAATGTTTACAACTGGATATTTTCCAGGATCAAAATAGAGCCCTTGTCTTATCCAAAATACATTATGAGTTTTGATCTCTCATACCTGGCGGATAAGTGGGATTATAGGCATTTGACTCTCAAGATTTTATACATATAAACTTTGTTTTGCTGAATTACACTTAGATGCTGTCCACAGAAGCAGTCTGTTGCCTTTCCTCTTTCAGCTGGAACACTTAGATCTATCTGTGAGTCGTGGGATATAAGCTTGTGGTTCTTTACCTTTTCTAATAAGGTGTAGCAGTTTTAAGGTCCAAAAATTATCCCCCCCTCCGAAGATGAGTTTTATTTTTAGTATCTTTTGATGAAAAAAAAAAGCAGCTATTATTTTAGTAATGCTTTTAAATCAATTTGTCTTTATTAGCTTACCAAAATCTACATCCAGTTGAAATACAATATATACATATTTATAAGATACATTATTTAATAAGACTGAAAGTAATGTTTATACAGATTCCTTGTAATAACTCATAGGAGTTCAAATTCCATGAGTTGTGAATATCACTCATACAGATTGAGGTTAAATTGTGTGTCCAGGAAACTACCTATTCATGCATGGAAATTTACAGGCTTATTTGAAATCAGTGGTATCAGTGCATTTTGAAAACCAATATATAAGAATTTCAAATTTCTGTGTAACCAAGTCTTGAGGTAAGCAGAATAATAAATTCTTTATAACTGAGACCTCTGACTCATCATTTGAATTTATTCTGCTTAGTTCAAGTCACAGCTAATAGTCTGATATTCTTGTCTTGATAAACTTGAGCAGCAGTCATGTGTCCTTTTTGCAGAGTTTTACATGTGGTCTGTAATTAGTATAGCACAATGGATGAAACCTTTTCTATAGGACATGGCTTCTTTGTGAGACCTCCAGTGATTGTGTGATATTGAATAGTTTCAGAAGATTCTTTGAATAGTAAAAGCAAAAGACATCTCCATACATGTGAGCTTAAAATTTAGTTAGAAACACAAAACTAACTTCCATAAAACAGCAGAGAAGGATTAAAGTGAACAATAGAGTGGAAAGAGCTTTGGAGTCTCTCAAGTCAGAATTCAAATGGCTCTGGGTTTAAGGTCCTAAATCTCATTTGATCCTCAGAGCAATTCTGTGGAAATATATAGATATATAGGATATAGAGAAGGCAATATTCCATTTTACACATCAGTAGACAGAAATAGTATCTCAAAACTTCATTTGCCCAAGGACACATAGCCGGTATGTTGGAGAACCAGAATTTGAATCCAGGTCTTTTGACTCCATGCCTAGTCTTTTTACCTCCATAAGACACAGAACCCAAAATCCTTAATTTGAGGTTCAAGACCATCACTACTAAGGGTCGTAACCATCTTGTTCAGTTTTCTCCCTCTGTTCCCACAGACTCTAGCTCCCACATTTGACAGGTCCTGGCCAGGGATCACAGGTAAGGGGTCTGTTTCCTTTTATGGCTTGCCATTTCGTTCCAGTTAAATCATCTGTTTTCCTACCTCTTCATTCATGTGGTTCTTATTAGGAATATCCTGCCTCCTCCTCTCTGCTTAACTATGACAAGAGGTCATCTGTTCAAAGAGAAAGACAAGTGGATTTGTGAATTCAAGAGAAAAGAAAAGGCTGCAAATACTGCTTTGGGCATTTATTTTAAGAGAGAGAGAGAGAGATGACCAAAGAGGCTGACAAGTTCTTAGTTGAAGCTAGAGTGTTACGCTGTGCAGTGCACCTGTTCTGCTCAAATCTTCTCTTCTTCCAGCAGTGCCTTGTGGACGCTGTTGAAAACCAAGATCTCCCTTCATTTCCTTTTTCATACCATATCAGTAGTTGGGTCTGGCTCTCTTCCTCTCCTCTCTTACCTATCTTTGCTTGTTTCCTCTCTCTTCAGTTTTACAGTGTTAAATAAAAATTTCTTTCAAAAAAATTGGTGTTCTCATTTTATTTGACTTGCTTGTTTATTGTGTTGGAGGGGAGGGAGGAAAAATTCTTCCAGGGTACAAAAACACATATGCTTATCCAATATTTGAATGAGAACTGTAAACCAGCCACTTTTGTGAAAGCTTTTCTTTTTATTTGCTGTTGGCTGAAGTGGGAAGAGAGGCAGGTTTGCTCTGGCAATGAGGAGGGCAGGTCAAAGTATACATTCATTTACCCCACCTTGTCTTTTCCCAGATGCTTGGCATCTTTAACATCTTTTCTCCAGTGACTGTTTTCTTCTTTGTGCATATTGTAATGTGAAAGATACCAAGCTAAAGAGAGTGAGATTTATCTTGCTGTAAATTTTGAAGTTTCTTCTGGGACAAGGCTCATAAAACTATGGAAAGAAAAAGGAAAGCTTGTATTATTGTCACACAACCTAGAGTAGCAATCAACAAAATACTTGATGAAATTCATCCGGGATATGTGTTGATAAGTCCTCATGACTAGAGAGGGTATGGAAAAGGAAAGAAGGAAGGAATGTAATATATGTGTTGGGTCTTGGAAGATTTGGCAAATCTAACTTATGGTGGAAGTGGGGAGGAATCAACCTTTGATCTATCTCTCTTTGCTGGAAAGTAGCACAGTCAAAGAAAAAATAGATGCCACTACAGAGGTTCAAGGTTGATTTTCCATGTATAGCACTGAATGGTTGGCATGATGGTAGGGCAGATATTCACTGAAATTAGTTTCATGAGCTCTGAGGGAAATGGATCCAGAAAACTACCTCATTCTTTTTGTCACATGTGAGAAGTTGATCTGGGCCTGAAAAAACATACTTTTCTACTGGACACTACATCTTCCATAATTCTCCTAAACCTTGAGTAGGAGGAGAAAGAAAATGAACTATCAAAAAGATCTCACCTGGTTGAGAAAGGGAAAAAGAGCTTAACATAATTCTGCTCTAGCATAACGTGGGAGTCAAAGGTAGTAAGTGGTAGTAGATTGTGTGACTTAGATTCAATTTCCTCTGGTCTTCAGAGTTCTTATTCTGTACGAAGAAATAAAATTTAACAGAGAAGCCTAACTATATGAGGGGATTTAGATTCAGTAAAGAATATCTCAAGGGTCAGACACCTTGATGACTCAACAGTTTCCTCCTAAACACTGGCATTTGGTTTAATTTGGCAGGTCTTAAGGATCACAGATAAGGATTCTGTTTTAAATTGTTTGCAGATAAGGGGCTGAAATAGGGAATGTTAGGTGGTCCTGAAAGTGGAAGGAGGCAGTCTTAGAATGGGGAGGGTGCTGAAGGAGTGGAGAGAGAAGGTGCTTAGTGAATAGTAGGTAGTTACTGAGAACGCAGTTTTAGAGTGAGAAGGTCCTGTGTTAATTCCTGGTGGACTGGGGCAGTGTTAACTTCTTTGCACTCGTTTCCTGACGAGTAATGAGAGAATATTTGCTTGGAATGCTTGTGTGAGGTTAGAAATCACTATATGTAAAGTCTTACTCATTACACAAATCTTTAAACATATATTAAGAGCCTACTGTGTACCTGGTACTGTCTTTTTGTTGGGGTAAACAAGACAAAGTCCCTGCACTTTCATTCTGGTAGCACTCAACAGTGCTAGTTATTGATTAGCAGAAAGCCTCAATGAAATGGAATTAAGTGCCAAGGAGAAGCAAAAAAATATGCATCAGTTATTGATTATGCAAAAACATAATGGCAAATCATTGCAAGTTCCAGTCTCTTAGAAGGAAAACCTTGATCTATATTGATGAATACTCAGAGGACTCAGCTACAAGTATTTAATATACTTAATCTGGTTCTCAGCCTTTGTTGAGGAGCTACATTGTTTAAAACCCACCTCAAGACCAAGTTTGTCTCTTGTCTTGTTCATTTTCACATAACCGGCAAACATCTGTTGCCTCAACTTGTAGCCCTCTGGTCATCCAGTGAGTAGAGAAGGCTGTATTTACTTCCCTGTCTCAGAGGCTTACTTTCCTAATAGGTCTGACCTGTCTAATGGAACATATGATTCATCCAACTTTCCCTCATGAGTAATGTGTTTGGTCCCTTTGGACCAATTTTTCCCTCACATTTGTTTGATGTTTTCCTATGGCTCACCAGGACCATTAGCTTTTCCCCTTCCCATCTGGGCTTTTCCACCCCTTTCCTGGAGAATAACCAAGATGTCAAAGGTATAGCACCTTCATTGCTTGGGATGATTAAGGCTCTTTTGAACATACCTTGAAGGGCTACCAAGCTGGTGACCAGCATCACTGAGATCTTTTCTGGCAGGAAGCCTAAATTGAGAGCACCTTTACTGTGGCTGAACTTGGGGTGTTTCAGTCCCATCACTGTCACTGTGTAGTTTCCTGTCTCTGGTTCAAAAGAGAATCCATGGATCAGGGGAGGGTTTTAGCATTAATACCTCCTTTTGCATTATCTCAGGACATTTTCTTTTTGATCTCCAGGGATACCTCAGCATAATTCATTGCCCAAATAAATATTTTTTTTAACATTTGTGGGTGATGATGATGTTCTTAAGCAGCAATAAATAAGTATAGAATCTGTGTGTCACACTGGGGATGCAAATAGGCCTACCTGTTTATAGAGTTTATTTCAGTTTGCAAATAGGCCTTACCTACCTTTAGAGTTTAGGGACTCAGTCTTGCTAGAGAGACAGCTAAAGTAGCTTAGTCACCTTGGACTTGGGTGTCCATCTTCTGGATTGGGTCCAGCAGTTTGGTCTAAGTTAAAACCCTGGACTTTGGAATACATCTGAATTTTTAAACACCATTTAGTAGCTGAGTGTAACTGCACTTACACAAATTACCTTTGAGCTTGAGTAACAATAATAGTACCTACCTCAAAAGGCCATGAAGATTAAGTGAAATAATCAAAATATCACTTAGCACAATGCCTGGCACACAGTAAGCACTCCAGTAAGCACTCTGAGTGGTAGACATTGGTTATTGATATTATCTGTTACCTGTTTGGCCTTACTAGTTTCACCCTCCAGAAGGAACATGTTCACATTTTCTAAGCATCCATATGTGCTGACTCTTATATTTAAATATCCTGATAGGATGAGAAAGGTATTCTATATTAGGGAGAACCATCTCAACTAGAAATGCTTTGGGTGTATTAGAACATGAACACTAGATTATAAGGAGCTTTGTTTTAAGACGCCCCCCACCATTATATTCTCTAAGGCTTAGTGCTATGTCTGGATGCACAGTCATAGTTAGATGAATGGAAGAGGAGTTTCCCTTAGATTAATTGGGATGGATTATCCACATAAGTAGAATGAAATTTTATAGACCTTCCAATGCCAGGCTAAAGTAATTTAAACTTTGTCCCGTAGACAGTTAAAAACCATTAAAACTCTTGAGTAGTGGTTTGGCATGTACAAATTGGCATTTTAAAAAGATGTCTGTAGCAGTTTGGAAGCAGAGTATTTAGAGTTGATGGATCATTTATCAAGCAGCAGGTCAGTGCCAGACCCTGAGGTAGGTGTAGGAGATACAAAAAAGAATAAGACATGGTTGGATCTCAAGAGGCTTACCAGTTAGGAGACCATTAGAATATTTTAAGTGTAATGAAGACCTGGAATACACCTTTGGAAAGAAAGGAATGAATGTGAGCAAGAATGAATGATACTTTAAAACTGATTGGATGGGAAAGAGAAAAAGGAACCAAGGTTTTAATTGTAAATCATGGATAGAAGTTATCAGGAGGATAAGTTTGACTTTGAGTTTGAGGAGATGGTAAGGCATTCAGGAGCTAGGAGTCCAGTTGTAAGTGGGAATGTTTAATTGAAACTTAGGAAAGAGGTGAGAGCTGGAGAAGTTGATCAATGGGTCAAGTGCAAGGGGGTGCAGGTTTAAATCAGGAGGGTGGATGGGAACTGGGGAGAGACAGAAGAGAGAAAATATTGAGGGGATGAGGAGTGAGTCTTGGGTAATCAATTCTCATATTTGAGAGGTAGGAGGAAATAGAGGCAGAGAAGAAGAGAAAAGCCAAAGGAGTAAAGAGTCAGAGAAGCCAACAGAGATGAGAGTTTAATAAAAGAGAGACTGAAAGTGCTGAATGCTGAAGCTAGGTCAGATGGGAAGACACGAAAAAGCAAGTAAGAAAATACAAATCAGCCTAGACTGAAGTAGAACATTTGAAATAGCCACTAACCATAGGAGATGTTGAAAACATTTGTTAAAAGGCCCTTAGCTAGATTTTTTATTTTTTTGTGTGTGTGGAACATAATTTGTATTTTTTTCTTAAAAAGTAAGATAGTATTTGAAGGTTCATTAAGAATGATAGCAGTATTCTTTTATCCTAGGTTGCATATTTCCCAGGAAAACCACTGTCAACTCAGGTATTTTATCATATTCCTGAATAATTTGCTCATATTACCACTTACTGATGACAAAGTTTAGACATCATCTATTGACTTAATGTTAGAGAAGATGAGGGAAATTTAGAAACTTTCCTTTTGTAAAACTTGGTGTTTTCCCTGGAAATAATAATGATCACCTGAATTTTTTTTTTTAAGCAGGCAGTTTTCCATATCCATATCTTTAATCCTTTGTCAGATCTGTCATAAGCCTTCAGAAAGATGATATTTGAATTCTGTTTTTAGCCCCTAGAGATCTAGAGCACTATCCCTCCTCTCTTCTGGAATAATTGCCCTTTGAGCCCTTTTTCATTCTAGAATTTCCTTATTTCCTTTCTTCTATTAGAGTCTTTGTTTCCTGAATCCCATTTTATCCACTCTACTGATTCACTTTCTTATTTTACTGAAGCATGTCCTCTGGTAGCTTCTTGAGAAAGATAACATGAAAGGCAAAAAATATTTGAGTCATTGCATGTCTGACAGTAGCTTTATTCTTGCATCACATTTGATTGGTATTTTGGTTGGGTATAGAATTCTAGGTAGAACATATTTTCAGATTGAAGGCTTGCTCCTTTGTCTAGGAATATGGAAACAAGGAGGCTTTCTGCTAGGCACATAGGGAAGTCATATATAGAAAGCTGAAGCTGGAGAGACCATATTTAGGCTGTGCCAAAGTAATAACACCAGGGGAGCATGCACAAAGTGAAGGAAATGTGGAGAGATGAGAGGCTTTGCTGCCCCAGAGAAAGTAAGACTAACTGTTTGGGTTCTGTTGACTTTCTGGTTTCTGATTCCAGAAACAAACTCACGAGGGCCAGTTATGCTTCTTGCCGTACTATTTTTCCTCCTTAATCTGTGGCTACCTGAATGGGTTTCTGTTTCTTACAATTAAATCCTCTTTTAGACAACTATCCATTTTACCTCAATTCATCTCTCTGTCCCAGCTCAGTGCCTGTATTTAGAAATATAGCCACATCTCTGAGAGAGCTCTGAGTTGGGAATCAGAAGGCCTAACCTGCAGACCTCTATCTGATTTTGCTGGCATTGGTCTGTGAGTGGCATTAGACAAGTTGTTTTACCTCCTTGTTAATCACTTTCAGTGTCAATAAAAATGGGATAGCTACCTCAGTGTGATTTTAAAACTTTAAAGATGAATTGAGGTTACCTTTGTATCCTTGCTTTGAGGAAAGGCAGCATTTGTCAGTGGGAGTGATGGGGAAAATCGGATTGAGTAATGGGCAGGACTTTTCCCCCAGAAGACTGCCTATTCAGGACCTGAAATAACTGCTTCTGTCACCAGCATTTGATCCTGCTTACTGTCTCACCTGGTGGTATTAGGGATATCAGGAGCTCACCTGTGACTAAAACGGTGAAAATATGGCCCTGCAGGCGGATATCTGGCTTCTGGCTTCTTGCACAACACTGGTAGTTCCCGCTGTCCAATGGCGTGGCTTGGTCTATGGTGAACACCAACTGAGATGGTCTTTGACTGGCACCATCTCTCCCAGGATCCCGTGTAAGTCTCAGTTGCTCCAAGCTTGTCTCAGGGGAGCAGTCCCAAAACCTGTCCTTGCACAAAAACACTATAATCCCCTCAACCTCTTCTTTCGTGTGCCACACAGTACAGATCAAGCTTAGTCTCTTTCCTTCTTGGGAAGTTGAGCTGAGGATGTGCATGCATCCTGAAATGGGAAGGATAGAATTAGCCATGGAAGGCCAAGTATACATGGTAAACTAAACTCACTCATATATGAATGCTTAAGCAGAGACAAGGGCTGCCCCATGGGCATCAAATACCATCCTCTTAGAATAGTAGTCTGTATGTAGGTTATACCCATATTGGAGGGAGGTCCAATTACTCATTGACTTGGAAATAGTTCTTATTTTATTTCTGTTCTTCAACTGAAACTTCCACAGGACCTTTATTAAAGTGCTTTGTGTACATGTAATCATTGGTTTAGCCCCAGAGACAGGTATTGATGTTCCCATTTGATAGATAAACTGAGGCACAGAGTGGTTAAATGGGTTGGTAAAGTTGACAAATACTGTGTCTGGATCACAAACTTGTATTTCAAACTTACAGTACATTTAAGAACTTGAAGAAATCTTAGATTGAGGGTCAGGCTCTTTGATTACCAGGCTCTTTGCTGCCCAGAAGAAGCACAGTGTCTGATGGAAAGATAACTAACAAAAAAAGAGAAACTGTATTTCTTAGCACTCTTGATTAGTGTCAAGAATAGTGGGTCCTTTTCTTCTGCAGAGCCAGAACAAACAAACAAACAAATAAGTAAATCATGTGCTCTATCCCTCTTTGTGAGTCTAGGATTCTCTCTGATGGCTGTCTGCTCTGGGGATGTGGGGTTGGGTTGTCCTTACCACCAAGCTGGATGTCCACGATTGCCAGCAGAATGGCTATGGCAAAGCAGCCTCTACCAGGTGCCATCAGCATCCTGCACATTGTTAGAAACACCAGGAACTTGAAGCAAATGTTGGTTCTGCTGAAGTCCTTGGCCTCACTTTCCTGAAAGCACACAGAGACTCCTAGACAAGGCCTTCCAGGTTTCCAAGATCATCCCTGCATTGCAGGCACTAGCTTTGGTTGGCTAAGAGTCTGTTGGATGTGGTGGAAGGCTTGGACATGAGAGTCCAGATGTTTGGGAAATGAGACAGTCTACTGAGATGTACTAGCGAGAAGAGAGGAAAAGAAAGAAGAGACATAGGGAGACACTAAAGACTATATTTCCAGATTATTTTTTTCTAAATTGAATTGCTGGGTCAAAGAATATGAACATTAAAAATTTTTTTCTACCATGTATTATCAGATTGCTCTCTGAAAAGATGGTTGAGATTCAGATATTGAGCAAGAATGCTTCATAGTGTACATTTCTTTATGCACTTGCCAAGCACCATTATCTGTCTTTTAAATTTTTGCCAATCTGATGCATGAAAAATAAGATCTTGCTGTTTTTTTATTTTGTATTCCCATGACTATTGAGAGTGAGCATCTCTTCATATGGTTGTCATTCATATTTCCTCTTCTATGAATTGCCTAGTATATTTGCACTTTAAAAAAATTAACTTTTAGGAGCTTTCTCTATATACTAACCTGTTGCCTTCTCTTTTCTATTTTAACAGTGTTTTCTCCCAGTTTATTGTTTTTCTCTTGGCTCTTTTGTTTTTTCCCATGAGGAAAATATACAATTGTATTTATTAGTTAAATACAATACACATATCTTCTCTTGTAATTCACTACCTGTGTTTTCTATATTGCTTAAGAAAGTTTCCCTCAGGCTAAAGTTATAATTTTCTTCCAATATTATATAGTTTTTTGTTTTATATCTTATAATTCCAGCTAAGAAAAATTATCTACCTGTCAAAAAACCCAAAATGAATAAAAATCAAAACCAAGAGAACACCTAAATTTTCATCATTAGGAAAATGACTGAACAGATTTTGATTCATTTGTACAGTAGAATGTTACATATTATGATGAAGAATGAGTTAGTTCTATGAATAGGGGCCTGAAAGGGGATGTCCATGATATGCTGTTATGTTAAAAAAGGCAAATTGCAGAGCTATGTATATAAAATAAATACTTTTTTAAATTAAAAATCCTGTGTATGTGTAGGTGTTTAAAAATAAATTTAAATAGTTTTGTAGTTTATAACTTTTTGGGTAGATAATTACATTCACAGGGTTCAAAACTAAGACTAAGGAGAGGTATACAGTTAAGTTTCCTTCCTACTCCCACCCCCTGTGACTCTTTTCCTAGAGTAAGTCGATGTTGCCTTATTGTTGTGGAATATCCTTCTAGAGATATTCTATGCATATACGTAAGCAGTTCCATATTTTTCCTTTAAAAAAAATAACAGTAGTGAATGATAGCATACAATACACTCTGTTCTACATTTTGCTTTTTCCACTTACCATTCCTGGAGACCATTCCATATCAGTACATAAAGAACTTTCCCTCTGTAAAAATTGCTGCATGGTGGTTACCAAGGGGGAGGGTAGAGGGCAGGGGAGGGGGAAAGGGAGAAGGGGACAGTTGAACCACTGTGGCATACACTTAATTTAAAAAAAGTAGTTGTGCGTGTATGTGTGGGTCTATTTCTATATTCTAGTTCATTCGTGTGTTAGTCTATTTTCTCACCAATACCACAATACCTTGTTTACTATAGTTTTAGACTAAGACTTGAAATCAGATAGTATTAGCTGCCCAACTTTATTTTTTCAAAGTTGTTTTGGCTATTCTATGTCATTTGCATTTCCATATGAATTTTAGGTTCATATTGTTAATTTCATCCACAAAACTTCACTGAGATTTTGATTTGTATGAATCTGCAGGTCAATCTGGAGAAAACTGATATCTTAACAATACTGAGTCTTCTGACCCATGAACAAGGTATATTGTTCTATTTATTTGGGTTTCCTTAGTTTCTCTTGTAATGATTTGTACTTGTCAGTATACAGATCTTGCATATAATTTGTTAACATGGTTCCCTTTTTTTTGATGCAGTTGTAAAGAGCATTTAAAAAAATAATTTCAGCTTCCATTTGTACGTTACTGGCATACATAAGTATAATTGATTTTTGTATATTGATCTTGTGTCTTTCAACTTTGCCAAACTCACTTACGAGTTCAAGTAGCTTTTTGTAAATTCCATCAGATTCTTTATATAGATGATAATGTCATGTGCAAATAAGCGCAATGTTCTTCTGCCAAAAAAAAATGCACAGTATTCATAATGTGAATTTATTCACATAGATTCCTATTAGCAGGTATTTCAATTTTCTGATTTTTTTATTGAGGTATAATTGACATATTAGTTTCAGATTTATAACAATGATTTGACATTTATATACACTGCAAAATAATCACCACAGTAAGTCTAGTCATCCATCATCATAAAAAGTTAGAATAGTCTTTTATCTTTCCTGAGAAACTTCAAGTTCTACTCTCCCCGCAATCTTCAAATGTGCACTACAATACTATTAACTATAGTCACCATGCTGCACACTACATCCTCTTGACCTGTTCATCTAACAACTGGAACTCTGTACCTCCTACCTTCTTCACTCATTTTGCCCAAACCCCAACCTCCCCACACTCTGGCAACCACCCCTCTGTTCTCTGTATCCATGAGTTTTGTTTGTTTACTTGTAGTGTTTTTTTAGTTCCACATGTGAGATCATACAGTATTTGTCTTTGACTTCATTTAGCGTAAATACCCTGAAGTTCTATCCATGTTGTGACAAATGGCAAGATTTCATTTTATAGCTGAATAATACCATTTTTGTGTGTGTGTGTGTATCTCACATCTTTTATCCATTCATCCACTGATGGACATGTAGGTTGTTTCCATGTCTTGGCTATTGTAAATAATGTTGCAATGAATACTAGGGTGCATACATCTTTTCAAACTAGCATCTTCATTTTCTTCAGATAAATAACCCATAGTGGAATTGCTGGATCATATGGAAGTTCTATTTTTAATTTCTTGAGGAACTTCAATACTGTTTTCCATAATGATTGCACCAATTTATATTCCTATCAACAGTTCACAAGGGTTCATTTACTTTTCTCCACATCCTCGGCAACACTTTCCATTTCTTTTCTTCTTGATAATAGCCATTCTAAGAGGTAGAATGTGATACCTCACTGTGGTTTTGATTTATATTTCTTTGATGATTAGTGGTGGTGAGCATCCTTTCATGTACTTGTTTGCCATCTGTATGTCTTCTTTGGAAAGATGTGTATTAAGATCTGCCCATTTTATAATTGGAGTGCTTGCTTTTTTGCTGTTGTGTTGTATGGATTTTTATGTATTTTGGATATTAACCCCTTGTAAGTCCAGGGAGAGGAAATCCCGGGTAAAATACCTCTAAAAACTGTAATCAGCCAAAGAGAGAGAGAAAGTTTAAAATCCATTTATTGCTTACAAACTTCAATCCTGGGCCTTCTCTCTTTCTGCTCTAGCAGAAGCAAAACCAGCCCTCCTCTTCACCTATGAACTAGACTGGGACCATCTCTGTCTCTGCTCTGGAAGAAGCAAAACCAGCAAGCAAGCCAGCCCCTCACTTTAAACTCTCAGGTTCAGACACACCCTTGGTTGCCCAGATAAATTACCCACTGACATGGGAGATGAATTTCTCTCCACCCCTGAAGATATGCAGATGCACTAAAGCCAGGCGAGATATTCTGGAAATGTTACAATTTTACCCACACCCCTTATCAGAGACAGAGATGGTTTGCAAACATTTTTTTCCTATTCAGGAGATTGCCTTTTCATTTTGTAGATGGTTTCCTTTGCTGTTTTCCTTTTTAATTTTGATATTGTTAATGTACAATTACTTGAACAACATTATGGTTACTAGACTCCCCCTATTATCATGTCCCCCCCACATATACCCCATTACTGTCCATCAGTGTAGTAAGATGCTATAGAGTCACTACTTGTCTTCTCTGTATATACTGCCTTCCCCATGTCCTCCCCCCCACATCACATGTGCTAATCATAATGCCCCATTTTCCCCTTATCCCTCCCTTCCCACCCATCCTCCCCAGTCCCTTTCCCTTTGGTAACTGTTAGTCCATTCTTGGGTTCTGTGATACTGCTGCTGTTTTGTTCCTTCAGTTTTTCCTTTGTTCTTATACTCTACAGATGAGTAAAAACATTTGGTACTTGTCTTTTTCCGCCTGGCTTATTTCACTGAGCATAATACCCTCTAGCCCCATCCATGTTGTTGCAAATGGATTTATTTTTTCTTATTGCTGAATAATATTCCATTGTGTATATGTACCACCTCTTCTTTATCCATTCATGTACTGATGGACACTTAGGTTGCTTCCATTTCTTGGCTATTGTAAATAGTGCTGTGATAAACATAGGGGTGCATCTGTCTTTTTCAAACTGGGCTGCTGTATTCTTAGGGTAAATTCCAAGGAGTGGAATTCCTGGGTCAAATGGTATTTCTATTTTGAGCTTTTCGAGGAACCTCGATACTGCTTTCCACAATGATTGAACTAATTTACATTCCCACCAGCAGTGTAGGAGGGTTCCCCTTTCTCCACATTGTCACCAACATTTGTTGTTGTTTGTCTTTTGGATGGTGGTGATCCTTACTTGTGGAGGTGATATCTCATTGTGGTTTTAATTTGCATTTCTCTGATGACTAGCGATGTGGAGCATCTTTTCATGTTGTCTGTTGGCCATCTGAATTTCTTCTTTGGAGAGCTGTCTGTTCAGTTCCTCTGCCCATTTTTTAATTGGAGTACTTGCTTTTTGTTTGTTAAGGTGCATGAGCTCTTTGTATATTTTGGATGTCAACCCTTTGTCAGATCTGTCATTTATGAATATATTCTCCCATACTGTAGGATACCTTTTTGTTCTATTGATGGTGTCCTTTTCTGTACAGAAGCTTTTCAGTCCTTTGCTGTTTTTAGAAGTTTTTAGTTTGATGTTATCCCACTTGAATATTTTTGCTTTTGGGGTCAGATGCAAAAAAATCATTACCAAG